TTTGTCGGCGAAAATTCAAATGTCAACATGAGGGGAGGGGGAGTGGAAAGAGGATATGGGCAATCTCTCTACCAATCCAGTGGCTTTGCGGTAAAGTCTCAATCTCTTAAGGATGTAAATTTGAAAAGTAAATCCTTCTTTCAAGAATTCACGTCCGTTCATAGTAAACTATTTAATTATGGATTAACATCAAGTTAATATCTTTGGTGAAGTGAAAGTTCACTCAAAAGTTGTTGATGGCCTAATGGTTTAGAGAATTAATTACGGCAAACGAGTCTCTAAAGCCCCCTCCGTCTTTAGTTCCTCCTACCCCAAAAAAGCAGAGATCAATATGGACCAGCCATGATCCTCCCCGTTCTCATCAATGTGAAAGCTAACTAATGCCTACTTAGACAAGAAAGTGTCCCCAGCAGATTAGTGCGCAACTGCTAACCCAACAAGTGGGTGCATGTCTAATATGCATTAGCGTGTATATATCCAAGCCATCACTTTCATGTCGTGTATGAGATTGGATTTTGGTTTTGCTTTGTATTTCTCTTTTCTTTTCTTTTTTGGGTTTGTATAAAATTTGGACTATGGACCACTGCGGATATTTATTACGTGCTTTATGAAATTGAAAGTGATTGTCTTTTGTGAATATTTCAAATGAAGTGCATGCAATTTATATATATCTATGAGAACTTGGTTAAATTAGGGATGTAAGTTGTTGGACCCGATCTACATGCTCTGACAAGTTTAGTGACTTGACCCATCAAGAACGAAACTTTGTCAAGAAAATTACCAAAAAAGTCTTAAATCTATTATACGGTGGCCAGTTTTAGACCTTTTGATTATGCAAATTTAGTTCTAAACCTTTTGACAATTTGTCAATGTAGTTTTTCGGCCAATTTTGACTGAAAAGTTCTGATGTGGACGTCAACCGTACCACGTGACACGGCCGGCGTTAACATAGGCAATTTTGTCATTTTTAATTTTTCTAAGTTTTTTTTTGTACGCTGGCCCTGAATTGGAATAAAAAGAAGAAAGACAAGAAAAAACAAAAAAAAAACATTCAAACACATAGATAACCACAAGTATTTGAGAATTTCATGAAACAAGCACTCGCACAGACGATAGGGCTTAAAAAGAACGTACATGGATAACCACAAGTTCATAAAACATTCAAAGCAATAGAATAACATGAGTATTTGAAAATTTTCGTAGAAGACATTGTACAAGCGAAAGGGTTTGAAAAGGAAGCACATGGATAACCACAAGTACTTAAAACATTTAAGTGCCCGGATAACCACAAGTACTTGAAACATTCAAACACTTGAATAACCACAAGCATTTAAAAATTTCTGTAGAATTATCAATTTGAAGTAAGTTACCAGGCATATGTGGGAACAATTTGATCTTTAGGGAAACATTTCCTGTCATATATGATTACAGCAAGTATATATGCATTCATCAAAAAAATATACAATCAAGAATATTCTAGAAAACACATTTCAAGATTCAATTTAATTGAGGTTTATGCATAAGGATTTCACCATCTCTGCATCACAAATTCCACTTAGGAGAATTAATACTAAGACAATTTTCGCTCATAAAGTGGAATTCTTGAAAATGCTAAATGAAGAAACTTTCAATCAGAAAGAGCTTTTCGCTCACTTTCATTTAGAAGGCTACTTTGTCCCGTCCACTGAAGTGGGAAAAGTGAAAAATACTCAATCTTATTGACAAAGGTTTGAGTTTTTTCGAAAATGGTACGACCTTGCTAATCTGACAAAGTCCAACACTTTTAAGAGTTTGAAGCTAGTGATCTCTTGTATTCTTCCTTCACTTTGGATTGTCTTCCCGTGTAAATACTTCATCGGCCACAAGAGTCCAACACTAATTCTTAGCGGACTTTGTGAATCATTACCTTCACATTGTGGTCCATCTTCACGCTCTTGACAAACACTTTTGACTTTTCATTTCCATTGACAATTGGGCTTCATATCAACATTTTTCCACTCTTTTTTTCTCTCTATTTTTTTTCACTTTTCTTTCTGTTTTTTCCTCTCATTTTTCTATCATTTTATGGAATTTCCTCGCAACACATTTCCTTGCAAAAAATTTAAAGACTTATCAGACTCTAATTTTCATTTCGATTGGCTCATGAACAGTTTAGCACTTTGGCTTCTCGAGATCTTCATCTTCAACCGACGCTCTAGATTATGCCGATTTATCGTGGCAACTCATGTGCCTTGCCCCAGTGTTGAGGATGATCATCAACTGGGTGGGGAAATGAATTTGCAGGGCTCAATTGGGTTGTACAAAGGATAAGAGCGTGTACGATAGAAAAAAAAAATGCTCTTCATCATCTTAAGGTACTTAAATTCTCATTTGAGTTCATCTGCAACAAAGATACCCGAAGATTGATTCAAGTGGAGGCAAGAAAGTTCTATCCATTTTTCTCACCTTGTAATGTCAATTATACCTCCATTTTACCCTAATGTAGAGTAGTTCTTGACAGGAGTAATTTAAAAGAATTCTCCAAATACTCAGGCTCAAATGGTTTAAACAACGATTTACCTGCAGTGTTTAAGATAGAGAAATGAAAGGCTTCTCATCATTTCGGTGTGCATACCTTTCGCAAGAAAATGATTTACCTTGAGGACATGAAAATTTTCCATTCATCTCATTGTGTATAAACAAGGATTGTGTATAAGATAAGGTTTGCTTTTCATCATCCTGACACGTCTCATTTAGCAAACTCAAGTAATTCCACATCAATTCATTAAATTATGGGTTAATACCATGACAAACTCCAAACTGGTACATATGTGACAAATCTGCCCCAAACTAATTTTTTGATTACCGAAAGCCCCCAAACTGGTACACCTATGATAAATTTACCATCACTTTGTTTCATACGATACAAGGCACACATTGAAAAGAAGCAAAGAAAGAGACGCAGGAGAGGAATCGTCCACCCCAAAAAAAAAGATATTGACTGAAAACTACACACGATACACAATGGCGGAGGCACACTTTGCAAAAGGAAGACGACGAAGAATCATTCTCAATAGCGAAAAGTCATCCACTTATTTCAGATTTTCTTCTCTGCAACGTCCTATGATTTCCAGTCGCACCATCATCGATTTATGTTCAAGGAGTCCTCCGTAAGGCAATCACCGAGCACAAACCACAGCAGCCTTCCAGTCCTTGATGAAACCAGCAGCTCTCCACCGTGCCAAGTTATCGTCAACTTTCGCTGTCCAAAGCCTAGTTGCCGCTCTTACTGAATCGTAGCGCGATGGCCGCCTTACGACTATCATTGCTGAATTGTTGAACACCTTCGTCACCGCTGGGCGAACTCAAGCCATCGTCATAAATCGGCGGTTGTGCTGGAAGAATAAGTAACACTTTGATTTCGTTTATTTCGCGAGAAATGAATAATTTAGAAAACGTTTTCCTAAAACTGAGTGCTTAGATTTCTTGAAATAATTAGCCATTGGAAATTATTTTCCTTTTCAGCAAAAATTTATGTCTACATATATTCATGCAAAATGAAAATATTTTTCATTCATTCAAATTTATAAGCGATACAAGTTTAAAAAATATATTTTTCAAAGTATTCATTTTCTGCTGAGAAATAGTCTTTGTCTTGAGTTATTTTCCAATCAAACTCCCGGATTCCAATTCTTAAAATAGTTGATTCCATACATTAATTTTGTCGTGGTCTGATTCCTCAAATCAATGGAGTTGACGTTGAGATTTGCATGTTGGAACTTTAAAATCAAGAGAGGTTATTAGGTCAATTTGTTCTTGACTAATTTTGTGCTTATTTTAAGATTTGCATGTTGGAATATTGAGGCTTCCCATTTACACGCGGAACGTGTTTCCTGCCTTGATTATTCATGGTCACTCACTTCTCTGGGCACATCAAGTTTCGGTTATATTGTTTCGCTTGGTAATTGCACTGTCTTCCCCATGGTTGAAGCCAAGCAACCTTGGTATGGTAATTTCTTGTTATAGTTGCTCTGGGTCTTTCATGTGGTTCTATTACCTCATGCATGATAGGTGGTTTATCGCATATGTTCTTTAAGCATGATAGATTAGATAAACTTAGCTAGCTTAAAATAATTTGTCATTAAATCATATAAACAAATTATGGACAAAAAGACATATTTCAATGCATCGTGAAATTTATTAATATCACGTATATATTACATATAATATGTCACATGCATGCTTAGAACTTAAGGCACGTTCATAACTCAGTAGGGCAGTGCATGTTAATTTTAGAATTCATATAAGTAAAATGTCATTTAAACCATATAGATTGCATTTAGGTATAGAAATGATGGGTCTTATAATATGCATGTCACGTAGTGCGCGTCATTTAGTAAGCCGAACGTTTTAGGGTCAATATTTTAATGATAACATTATGTAAATTAATAAATGCATGTCATGCATATCATATAGTTTAATTCTTTATAAAAAGAACATACCAAAAATAACTAAGGTTGCATCATTAAGTCGTCTTTTAATAAAAGTCACTTTGGTTATGTTTAGTGTCCTAGAGTTTAGTCTTTCAACTAATAAAAAGAAAACACAAAAAATAGTCTCACGCGCAGTTAAATAATAGGGTTTATTTCATGATTAATCGTACCTTCATTTCATTAAAATTGCATATAGGTTGCATAGCATACATGTCATTTAAATTTCAGGTTAGTTCATTAATGCATCTTAGTTTAGAATTCACAGTCCTGTTATTTAAATTAGATCATGTTTGCAGCAACACTTTACTTGGATTTTTAATCAACTCATAATAGATTAGTAGCGACTCCCGAATAACTCGAATTGCATGTTTAAATTGATTAAATTAAAACCAAAAATTGTGATTAGCATGGCCTTGGAAAAATCTGTGCTATATAAGTCTCAAGGCTTAGTAATCTACTAGCTTTCTTTTTTATGGTTCATCTCGAGGGAGGTCGTGACAAGAGGTAATAACATCTAAAGCCTTCATGGAATATAAAGTTGGTAGTCTCAATTTAACTATTCAATATAGGTGAACTACACAATAGTTTCTTCAAGCAATCCAGCTATAAAAAATTTGCTTTGACCGGTCATATGGACAATTACAAAGCTAAATGCACACTTCTTCCGGGAATCGATTCCAAGAGAAAAAAAGTTTAATCTTGAGTAGATTTGGAATGATGCTTGTGCTTGAACACAAGGCAAAAGGATAATTAATGTTCACGTATCATTCAGGATCAACCTCGCCTATAGTGGGAAAATCCCGACCGAACGCTTATTTCGCGGTAGATCCGATGGACACCGCTTTCGAAAGATGGACGGGGAACTCGTGAATCTCGTCCATCCATGGGTTCTTCTCCTTCACCAGATCGACGGTCCTCAATGCCAGCCAAACTGCGCTGTTGCACTTGAATCCGGACCCGAAAGCGATTTGCCATGTCCTATTGCCTTTCCTAATCCTTCCTTTGGCCTCTGAGTAGGCCAATTCGTACCACAATGAGCTACTCGACGTGTTCCCAAATTGGTATAGAGTCATTCGTGATGGCTCCATGTGCCAATCAGTAAACTCGAGGTTCTTCTCTATCTCGTCGAGAACATCTCGGCCTCCGGCGTGGATGCAAAAATGCTCGAAGGCCAGCTTGAAGTTGTGAATGTACAGCCTAATTTTCATCTTGAACACCTTCCTCGCGACCGAGGTCGTGAAGAACAAGAGTTGCTCTGACATTGGGAGCACTAACGGGCCAAGGGTTGTGATGTTGGTCTTCACGGCTTCCTCGGCAACCGCCATCAAGTCCTTGGAGAGTGACACACCAATCTTCTTCTTCCCCTCCTCTTGCTGGAACACGCAGCCATAGCTCTTGTCATCCGAACCTTTGTGGGTGCGCACGGTGTGGATGAGCTGGTACTTGGAGCGGCGGCAGTCAGAGGACTGGTTGGAGTGGAGGATCGCTGCACCACCCATCCAAAAGAGGCAGTTCGAGATGAGCATCGACCGGTCATTGCCGAAGTGCCAGTTGAGAGTGATGTTCTCGATTCTCACCACTAGGGCATAAGAATTAGATTGTACCTAGTGATTGATTTATAAGAGAAGCAATAAGATTAGGCCTAGGTTTCATTTTCATGAGACCAAAATTAAATTTTCCTAGAAAGAAAACCTAGAAACTTTTGTACCTAGTAGATAGAACAGATAGTAAATTGAGCATGTACAAAGCTTATGTTCAAATCCGTTGTCATATATCGAATTCATAAATGCGAAAAGTCCTATTTTAACTCTAGCTATATTCTGTGCACAATGAATCTTGGATTGACTTATTTGTGGATCATTTTGTTCGACGTCATCTAGGTTTCGAGGGTTCCGAGTTCAAACCACTCACTAACTCCCACTTCCCAACCAACCAAAGCGTAGACTAAGGAAAGAAAATACCTGAAAGTTTTACTGTCTGCACATCCTAAATAAAGTTGGTTTTCTTTTTGTGTCATTATTCTAAATTTTTATGAAATGTTTTTGTCGCGACCGAACTCCCGAGCCCTTTTTTAAACAACATGCAAAAAAAAAGGGGGGCTCGCCTGGTACGTGCTAAGTCTAGGTTCGGGACTTAACTCGGGCTCTCCCAAGCCCATACCATATCGCGACTTAGGGTTTAAGTTTTTAACATGCAAGTGGTTTATATCGAAGAGTCGCCACTAATCGATTTGGGGTGGGTCGATTAGAAACCCAAATAGGGTGACGGGAGAATCACCCTATTCCAACGAACCAGAGATTAAATGAATTCGGGGACTTGGTTACACTAGTTGGATAACTAATGCCCTTTCGGTACCATTTTACCCTGTTCATTTCTGAAAACATTTATCAGGCAATTTGAATTGATTTTAGGACATTTCTCCTAACATGTGAGGTGATCAAGCGAGTGCATAATCAGAAACGATCAGCAGTCAGGAACACAACAATTCATGCAGCCTAAGGTTCTAACCTTAACTAAGTCAGATGACATTCAAAACACAACTCATGCAATTGTATTAAAAACATGCATAACAATACAACGGTAATAAAAACTAATATGCAAAATACTATCGCGCAACCTCAGGCTTGCCTAATTTAAACAAGACAAAAACTTACAAAATAATATCACATTAGATTAAAACAACAACAATATATCACACAAAATTTTTTTTTTTTTAAAAAATAAAATAAATAAATAAATAAAACAAAATACGAAATTTTTTTAATAAATAAAATAAAAAAAAGGAAGGAAAAAGAAAAAAAAAATTAATTAATTAATTTTTTTAAAAATAAAAAATAAAAAATAAAAAAAGCGGAACCGGACCGGGTCGGAACCGACCCGGGTCAACGGACCCGACCCGGGGCGTTGACCCGGGTCGGATCGGCTGAACCGGGTCGGTTGGGCTGACCCGGGTCAACGGATCCGACCCGGTCGTTGACCCGGGTCGGATCGGCTGAACCGGGTCGGTCCGACCGACCCGAGTCAACAGATCCGACCTGGGGCGTTGACCGGGTCGGGTCAACTGAACCGGGTCAGACCGAACCGACGGTCGCGGGCGCCGGAGAAAGCAGAAATCGGCCGCTCGCCGGCCTACCCAAGCCAACACCGCCCCCAAATCGGCTTCTGGGAACTTCACCGAGCCTCACCGGCTGCCTGGGGTCACCGTCCGACTGCCGCTCGCCGGCCGGCGAGGTAATTAAAAAACGGCCTCTTTGAGGCATTTTATCAAATAGACGGTGAGCAGCGCAAAAAAGGGGAATCCTGACCTGTTTTGAGGCCTCGCCGTCCTCGGGACACCCTTTCTTACATTTGACGACGATGCACGGACGGCGGGGGACGGCGGTATGGGCCGGGACTCGCGCGAAACGGCCGGCGCGGGTCCCGGCCAAACCGGGAGCAAAAACAGGGGAAAACAGAGCGGTTCGGGCCGGGGGGAGAGCTCACCGTCGACGGCGCGTCTGGGAGGCTTCCGGCTGGTCGGCGGCGTTGGCGAGGCGACGGGCTTCCTTCTCACGGCCTGAGGACTCTCAGTTCACTCTCTATCTCTCTATTTTCGCTCAATCTCTCCCTCTCCTCCGGTGCTCTGTTTTGGCCGAGAATGACCAATCGGTCGGGGACGTCGGCTCGGTGGATCGTTGGCGACTCTGGCTCGCCGGGGGCACTCCTGCAGCTGTGTTCTTCCACCTGTAAGCCAAAATATCGGAAAATTTTCACCCGATCTCTCTCTTTCTATCGGCTCACGCTCTCTCTCCCTCTGCTCTGTTTTTTCTTGAAAATGGCCGACCGGGGCTGCTTCCGGGGGTTGCCGGTCGGCTTGCTGGTGACGACGAGACCGGCTGGGACCTGTAAGACCCTCCGAGGCTTCTCGGTTTCTCTCTGATTCTCTTCGGCCTCTTTCGGACTCTCTCTCCCTTTCTCTCGAAATTCGGCCGACCGAGAAAAACCGCCCCTCTCTCTCTCTCTTCTGGCCTGTATAGACCGACGACCACGCTCACCCTCTGCTCCGTTGCGTCTGCTGACGACGGCCTGCACCGGCCTACCTGCCCCGCGACTTTCGCGGCCATGGCAGCCGGTGCAGAAAGTGTGCAGCAAAAGGAGGGGGGGCCGGTGCGCAGAGGGTGCGGAGAGACGGCCGAGAGGGAGATAGAGACCGGGAAATGGGGAATACGGACCGGCCTTAATGGCCGCTCCCCGTGGCGTGCTCGCTTGGGCCTCCTCTGACCAGATGACGACGATGAGGAGCGGCGCCGCCGTGCGTCACGCTTCGGTCGCGCACAGGGGAGAACAGGGGAGGAGAGAGCGACCGGCGCAGGGGGAAGGAAGGAAGGAAGAAGGGTCATGCGCCAGCCCAACAGGGGGGGAAAGAAGAAAAGAAAAGGAAAGCGGGCCGGGCCCACGCGAAGGGAAAAAAGAAAAGAAAAAGGGCCGGGCCCGGGGGAAAAAGGAAAAAAGAAATGGGCCGGGTCGGCCCAGCTCCAACCCGACCCGACTCGAATTTTTTTTTTTTAATTTTTGTTTAAAATTTAAGAAAATATGCTCTAATAGGCCCTATTAATGCACATATGCCTAATGTCTACATGCAATGCATTTAAATAGAAATATTTTTTTGTTTTAGGAATTAAAGAAAATTAATTCCTAAATTTTGTGTAATTAATTTTGGGCAAATTAAAAATAGGTGTCAACAGTTGCCCCTCTTTGAAGGTGAGCTCGCAAAGATTGAGCTCGCAGAGGTTACGTTCAAAGATAAAATGGCACCTAAATTTGGCCCATGCATGCTCGATGAATGCTATTTTTGGCGAGACTGGTGTCCCATTTTTATGATGCGATATAAGATGATGCATGCTAAAGCAAATAAAAACATACCTGGGGCTACTTACCTTGCCGAAGGGTAGAGTAATTCCAGATAGTTGATATTGTGTGTCGAGGACCCGAACCTGTCTTCGGTCGCCTTGACGGAAAAAATGGTTTGTCTAGGACCCGAACCTATCTTCGGTCGCCTTGACGGGGATTGTTTTTGTCTAGGACCCGAACTTTTCTTCGGTCGCCTTGACTGGGGAAATCGCTTGCCTAGGACCCGAACCTATCTTCGGTCGCCTTGACTGGATTTCATTTGTTTAGGACCCGAACCTTTCTTCGGTCGCCTTGACTGGGGGAAATCGCTTGCCTAGGACCCGAACCTATCTTCGGTCGCCATGACTGGATTTCATTTGTCTAGGACCCGAATCTACCTTCGGTTGCCTCGACTGGGAAAATCGCTTGCCTAGGACCCGAACCTTTCTTCGGTCGCCTTGACTGGATTTCATTTGGTCTGTCTAGGACCCGAACCTTTCTTCGGTCGCCTTAACTGACTGGATTTTGCCTGTCTAGGACCCGAACCTTTCTTCGGTCGCCTTGACTGATTTTTGTTTGTCTAGGACCCGAACCTTTCTTCGATCGCCTTGACTGACTGGATTTTGTTTTGACAAAGTACCTGGGGGTCCTCGCCCGAGGATTTGATGGTTTGCCTGGTGGGTCCTCGCCAGCAGTTCTTGAAAAGGCTCAAACGATGAGCACCTGGGGGTCCTCGCCCGAGGATTTGTTGGTTTGCCTAGTGGGTCCTCGCCAGCAGGTCTTGAAAAGGCTCAAACGATGAGCACCTGGGGGTCCTCGCCCGAGGATTTGATGTGAACATAGGGAGTCAGTTCCATGCTCAGAGGGTGAACAATGGGGTCAATTCAATGTTCAGTTGGTGAACAACGGGGTCAATCCGATGTTCAGAGGGTGAATAACGGGGTCAATCCGATGTTCAATTGGTGAATAACGGGGTCAATCCGATGTTCAAAGGGTACCATAACAATCGTAGGTACATGGATTTTTGGAATCGGCATGGGTAAAATGTACTTACCTGGGCACGTTCCTGCCTCTTAAGGGCGTGTCTCCTGTCAGACAAGTTTTTTTGTGCAAACACATACGCATTCATTGGAGAAATAGACAACTGAGGCTATTCTTGAATATCGTATGAAATATCTTGACCAGCTAGTCAAGATGCTTTTCTTTTTCAAAGGAACATCCGGTTACCTTCTGGGTAGTTTGAAAAGAAAACTGATGAAATACCTGGGATTTCTTACCCGGAGGTTTGATATATCATCTGCTGAATACCCGACCTTTTTCAGGGCATCTCTCTTGGAATGATAATGAGGGCTTCTCCAGCGCCCGAATTTTCGTGTTCTATCATTGAGGATTAGAACTTTGAGCTGCAAAAGCATGCTGTGTCAATTCCGCTTGGGGAACAGAAGAAATTTTTTGTGACATCTTTGGAGACGCTCCAAAGGGCATATGTTCTTTGAGTCTTTGAAGATATTTTACCTGTCAAAGAGAGTTAGCGCAAACATGCATGCATTCATCAAGGATAGACAAGCTAGGCTATCCCAGAATGTGTATTTGAAAGTTCATGCATGATGATTTTGCCATGTTTGCATCACCAAACATCCACCGAGGGTCAATCAAGACAATTTTCGCTTGGGATGTGGACTTCTCGAGATGCTGAACGAGGGATTCTCAGTCAGAAAGGACTTTCCACTCGCTC